GTAATTTACCTACCACCATGATAGTATCAGAATATTGTAAATTTGATATGTACTTACTGGTACCAATGACATTATTAAACAGCATAGTTTTGCTTCAGGTCCAGGAGTGACATACCATTTCTTATAAGATAGGTCTAGTGGTAATGAACCGTCTTTATTTTTGTTCATCTTGGGAAATCATTGTATTATCTCTCTTATTTTTGAAGGATGGCTTTGCCACATAAGGCATTCTTTGTTGGCTGGGGCTTTTGCTTTTGTGTTATAATTTTCAGTATATTACTTTATTATCTCCAAGACTGTAAGTTTTTAAATTATTTTGTTTTACTTTTATCATGGTGTGTGTTTTGTTTGCATATGTGTCTATGTACTGCATGCAAGCTTGATGCCAGAAGAGGGCATCCATTTCCCTGAACCTGAAATTGCATGTGGGTGGTGAGAATGACTCTTGCAGTCTTCAGTAGTTGCCTGAGCATTTGAAGAAATAGCCACCTTTTGTAGTTTTTGGGAATGGCTTCAGAAATGAAATGCCTTCATTGTGTGAGTTGAGGAGAAACATTGTGACACCGTATTTAGTGTTCAGCATGTGATTCCAGGTGTGACAGGAAGAACATAATGTCTTGGTTCAGGAATTTGGCGTTTGCAACATCCACAATATGTGGTCCTTTGTTCTGCAAGGGATATGGTGGCAGAGGGGCATCTTGGTATCCTCAGTGGTAGCTGTGACAAGAAGCTGACACATGTTCAACAACTGTCTCAGTATCTTATGTAACTACCTGTAGGAATGTACATGGTGACAAGGATTGAGGTAGGATCAACTGTGGCTATAAGGGCAGGGTGTATCTATAGACATAAGTCTGGTAGTGTGTACATATCCCACTATAAAGACTGGCTTTGTGCACCCATTTGGTGCATGGGAGTCAGCTACACAGATTAAGCCAGTTTTCCATATATGATAACAGCAGGGCTCAAGCTGGCAGCATGAATGCAGGGAAATTCAGGAACTGGCTATGAGTGCAAGCACAGTAGTGGGGAAAGTGATGGAGTGATGCAGCTGGGGCTGGTTGTGTACATTTGTGTCGCTACAAGGGTTGACTGTGAGCACATGAGCCAATTGGTATCGATGGTAGGTTTAGTTGCTCCATGGACACCTATAGCTAGAGGCATCAGAGCTTGCAATGCACACATTTATGACTAGGGGGCCAGCTGTAGGAGTGAACATGATTGTAGGGTTTCATGATGGGAGTTAGGGCAGACAGGCATGAACATGATTACTGAGATAGCTGAGAGCTCTGATAACAGGAGTTGAGGCTAGCTAGCTGCTCATGGGCACATGGCTAATGGGTTATTTACCAGTGCATATATCATGGTCAGTCTATGCTTGCATTGAATACACAGGTCATTTGTTTATGACCCACTGACTGAACTGGTGTCTGGTTGGGTGCTCCTGGAGGATGAATTTAGGTTATCTCCTCAAGAGAGAAAGAAGAGGAGTAGTGGCTCCAATGACTGGAGACTGAAAAAGTGAAAAACTATGGGTTCCTTAGTGGTAAAAGGATGGGCTCTACTTCTTCTGTGCTTTTGTTGGATTCCTATGTGGTGAATAGTGCTGTCATCTACCAGGCCAGACACTGCAGGGTGCATGATAATGAAAGTTACAGGGACTGTGCAGAATGACCAAGAGGGTGGTGGAGGTGCCCAGTGAAGGCTGCTGGTGTTCTCTCCAGAGCAGGCCACTGGAGATCATGGTGATTTCTGCTACATGCTGACACCGAGGGCCCCTGGCCATGTAATTTGTTCCCAGATACTTCCTGATATCTTGGTTATATTGGCTTCTCCAGATCTGGGTGGGATGAGGCTGAGGTAAGCCATGTGGGAACTGTTCTGAAAGACTAGGGAAGCTGGCTGTTCAGCACGTTCTACTTGTGTGTGTGTGTGTGTGTGTGTGTGTGTGTGTGTGTGTGTGTGATTTGTGAGTGAGGGAATCCCTCCCTGTGCTGGGCACTGCCAGTCTGGGTGATGGGATGATATAGATAAAACGAAACAGATATTCTTACCCAGTTTTTGTCCGCTTATTCTCAATATCTCTTTTGTTGTTGTGTGATTTCTTAATTCAATCCCAAGGTGTCCTAGACTAGCCTATTTCATTTGTGCATGGCTATGTACTTGCTCTTTGTTGGGCGGACAAACCTGCAGTCTCCTTCTCGGCCCCCTTGCTGATTTCACTCTATCGTGTTTATGAACCTAAACTCTATGTCATCTGGTCCTTTCCATTATCATCAAGGAAGAGGTGCGTAGTGGGAATCCCCAAGTGCCAACAATATGACAAAGTATTAGGAAAGTCTCCCTGTTTTAGGGCTCAATTTCTCCACTTGTCAAATGAAAATAGGGATCCAGGCTCTATCTATCCCAGAGAGGCTGGCCTAGAGCCAGCAGATGGTGCCTGTATACCACATGATATAGATCCAGAACTTTCCAAGATGGTCATAAAAACTTCCCTTTATAGTTATATGCTCATCACCTCAGCCCAGATTTCATGGAGAGTGACCGAAGCCCACGGCCGCAGCCACAGAACAAATAGCTAATGACCATAGACAGCAGCACTACTCAGTGCTGCTTATGTGGTGAGCCCTCTCAACACACCCTCACCTATGGCCGTGGAACCCCACAATGAGTTTGGAACTGCCAAGGTTTCCATGGAAGGAAGTGAAGGGGCTACAGGAGACGGAGGTTGAGTAGGTCCAGGAAGGCATTGTACACCACCTGGTGTCTTTCACCCTTCCTGCTGCTGTGTCTCTTCCTTTCCCTCCATAAGCAAAGAGCCTGACTAGTCGAAGTAGCAGGAACATCTGCTTTAGCTGTGGGATGAAGAATGTGGAGAGCCTTGTGGTCAAAGAAGGCACCAGAGATTCAGCAGCACTTTCCATGATGGCTCATATCCAAAGAACTTAAGTGATAGAGAAGGGTCCACTGAGAAGCTAATCAGAATGGGAGCTGCCTAGGTCCTGTCTTCATTACTTAGATTGCTGCTTTTGTAAACGTCTCTGCTGGGAACCCACACTCCCTAGGAGTGCCAACACTCCTCACCATCTTACATTGTAAACCAAAGTTGGAGGCCGAGGCCTGGCAAAAGCCCATTACTCACTTTTAATGAGACGGCCAGAGAAATAAATTGGCATATGTTAGCAAAATGGCTCACCAAGGTGAGTAATTGTCTTCATGACTGGGGCTGTTTACCCTCAGATGAAAGAATTCGCATCTCATCTTTTCCTTGTTCTTGAGAACAAGGACCAGGAGGCCAAGTGGAGCTTGACCACTTATCACAGATGTCTCCACTTTTGCTATTTGTCATGTGCTTGACATGCCCCAAATTCCAAAGCTTTTGTGGGGACAGACTGAACAACTGATGGCAGGGGAATAGAAACCTAACATGCTAGAGGAGAAAAACACAATATTCCCTTTGTATTGTATGGTGTGGAGTGACGGTGGTGGTGGTGGCGTGTGTGTGTGTGTGTGTGTGTGTGTGTGTGTGTGTGTGTGTGTATGTAAGTGTACACACTGCAGGCACATGTGTGTACATGTATGTATGTGCATGTATGCATGTAATAGGTACAGACCAGCCTCTCAAAGGGGTTGGCTTGCTGGAGAAGCTGTGAGGGAGTGGTTCTGGAAGTTTCTACAAATAGAACTTATCTTCACTTCAGTATTTTCATCTTTCCTTCCCTGTGTACCAATCTCCTGCCCCACACAATTAGCATTTAAAAATGCCCAGATGGGTAACTCTTAGTCCCATATCTTTTAGCCTTCTGTCATAACAGTAAGGTAGATCATCTGAGAAGCTACTTGAAAGTGGGGATGAAGGTGTTCCCTTTGCCTATGGACTCTGGTATTGTTCTTAGGACACAGATTATATCACAGAACAAGTTTCCTTCTGGTCTCAATATTTTGAAGCATTCCTGAAGATTTAGGAGCACATGACTAATGTGTTCCCCCTATAGATGTTGGGTAGCAAGATTCTCAAGGCTAATTTGCAATGTCACTCCAGTTCCAAGAATTCTTTATACGTACTTTCAGTTTTCATGTCCCCTTGATTCTCTTTTGCTTTTCCTTCCTCGTTACTTAGTAATGAGGGCCTATCTTGAATTCTATTTTAGCTCCATTAGGAGTCCATCATCAAACCTAACACTTGGTTACAGAATGCTTCCGGTCTTGCAACTTTTGTATCCTTCTGTGCTACTTAAATGATATATGAAACAAAGTAGGGATAATAAATAGATACCCACATAACTCACTACAAAAGAGCAATGCACTCAGCAATGTACTTGATTTCATTACAATCAAGTTAGAGTCCAAGTGCATTGAGTTGATTGGATCTCTGGCTGTGTGTACACTATAATAAGATTCATATTAATGGTGATGAGAAATGCCCAAATGGCTTTATGGGACCATTTTCAGTTCAATTCAAACTGGAAGGCTCTACTATGGTTGAAATTCTCAAAGGGGATGTTGGCAAGAGTTTTAGAGATTTCTTAACAAAGTTATGGTTGAAACATGGCTTAAAATTCCCAATTCTATTAGTATCTCTTTGCCTGGAAGCAGAAAGCAGATTGTTGTGGTGGTGATTGGTGGTGCAGGCTCATGTTTTAATTGATAACATTGGGGGGACCCAGATATGGGCAAGGTAATGATGAAGCTCACATCTGGACAGTAAATAATTGCTCTAGGAAACCATCTTTGTTTTGAATACAAATATGTGTGACTATGAGTTCTCCAGACCATATTAATTGAGGTTTCTTGGACTTCCTCGAAGTAGTTTAGACTTAGCAATTTTCTAATTATAAATGAGCCATCACCTCAAGTGCATAATTGGGTCATGAAGCCTAGATAAAAAGTTTCAAGGGAGGTACCACTGTCAAGTACATTTGGGGTCCTCTTGGCCTGGAGAGCCAAGGGACGGTGAATTTGCTTTCCTGACTGTACTGGGATCTTCTCAGGACACTCACCATTTCTGTCAATGGCAAAAGGCACATCTGTTGTGACAATTTCATAGTTGCAAATCTGGCTGTACTGGGGGGAGCAGTCTTCATCAATGGCTTCTACCTGCAGGATGCTGTCATAGATTTTGCCTTCTGTGACGATGACCTTGTAGGCTGGCTCTTTGAAGGTGGGAGCAAACTCATTGACATCCTTCACCTGGATGTGGACCACAGCCCTGGAGCACAAATAAGAAAGAAGATACGATGGTAAAGAAGGAATCACACCATATGTGGGGCATTGATCCAACCCATAGCCATGTGAGTGATGAGGCCTCAAGGCTCTCAGAGCAGTTGTTGCATGAGTGCCTCTGTCTTCCCTCCCTCAGGGAACCAACCACCTACCTGTTCCTGCCTTGAGACTGAGCAAGGCTGCCCTAGAAGATCCTCCCCATTCTTTATCATTCCCTATTGCCTACTTCAGGTTACAGATTCCCTTCCCATCTTCTCCACATTCCCTATTCCTTTCATCTATTCACTCATCCCCTACTCAGTAAGAAGTCAAACAGCTCCGACATTGTGTTATGCTCTGAGCCAAACTCCACACAGAGAGAGCAGAGTTGAGACATGGTAAGACATACGTGACAAAGAGAAGAAAAGAGTTTTGCAGAAATGAAGAGAGGTTAGACTGGATATGAGTCGAGGGGTGAGCTTAGGGAATGCTTCTTGGAGGAAGCATTGCTTTCCCTTGGTCCTGGAGGTGGCTTAGGAGTCTCTTCCAGAGAACAAATGAAGGTTCAGTGTTCCCAGGGTAGAAATCGGCTGTGCAAATGCTCTGGGGGCACTCACCATCACCCTGGTCACATTTGGGTCTTTTTCCAATGTGACCATTTATAACTTGAGCCCCACCACCACCACTCATCACTACCACACAATCAACTTCCTGCTCCTAGTCAAAGAGATGCTAATGGAATTGGGAGTTTTAAGCCTTCTTCCAGCCATACCTCTGGTGTGGCTCAATGATGGGCATATTTTTTAAAAAGTTTATAAATAGAATAAATGGAGGTGGGTGGCCCAGGGTAGAAGGGGAAGACAGGGAGCTCACTTGTGTGACTTCTTCCAGGCTGCCTCCCGGGGTCCCACACCACAGTCATAGGCCTGGATGATGAAGGTGTACTCCTTCTGCAACTCACAATCGATGGGACTCTTGGCACGAAGCCGGCCCTCTCCAGATGTCTTATTGAGTACCACGGCCTCAAAGGGCAGCTCCTGCCCGTGGATCTTGAATGCACAGATTTCCCCTGCAGAAGAAGAGAGTATAGTGAGTGTGAATACTGGAGGAATCTCCATGTTGAAGACAGTGCTCTACTGAGCCAGATCCATAAGCCCCAAAACTTCTACACAATTTCCTCCACACTCAGAACTCTGTAGACTTGGCCTCTACAGATCAGCCCCGCACACTCATTTCACAGAGAACAAAATGGAAGCGTTTCATGCATGGGGATGTCACACAGCAGGTGCTCGTGCAGTCTCTGTATGGCGAGTGATTTTTTTCCCAGTTTCTCAGTCTTCCTGGCAGATGTTCCCTTGCCCTTTGCCCAGTCTTGGATCAGGGACTTGCTAACAGTCGAAAGACAAAGGACAGTTGCTGGAAAGAATTGAAGGCCAAAGATTTGCCCAGTCTATTGTCTTGTGACATTTTCAATGCTTGGAAGTATGTTTCGTGCGCCGGCAGCACTGGTGACTGGAAGATGGTGAGAAGGAGGGTCCCAGGTCCTGCCAGGCCTATGCCAGACCCGCATTCTTCTTCAATATGAACATTGCTTTTCTGTGTCCTCCGCTCTTGTTTACACATAGCATATTGCTGCAACTGAATCCCCTCCCCCTGCCAGCCTCCATTATGTCTCTCTACCCCTCTTCACAGCGGGGGTAGGCAATTTTGTCTTCTGAAACAGTGGGAGTGAGTTTCTGTGAGTTCAAGATTCCCCATGGAGCTTGAACCGCTAACTTCTTAAAGAGAAGAACATGTTGTGAAATTAATGCATTTTGCCCCTTCTGCTGGGTTAATGTTCATTATAACTGTTTCTCCGCAACAAAATTATAAGGCCATAAGAATCTTCTTTTTTCCTCTATTTGTGAATATTTATTTTTTGAACTCTGACTATAAAGCAGGCCCTGTAGGAAATGTTTTGAAATGTGTTGAATATTTGAGACATGGCCTCTTAGGGCATTGAGAGCACTTGTAGACCTCAGGAAATGGTGCCCAGATATATGCTAGCACTCTGAGATGGGCAGGAAAGCCCATCTGTAGGTGACTGAAGTATGGAGCCGATATACCTGGGTTCAGATTCCAAGTGTATTATGTATGAATGATAAGATGGTTCAGGGGATGAAATCAGGGAGAAGGACATCTACTCTGAGATGCCTCACCCTGGGGTTGACATTGCTTCAGGTATATGCCTGGACCATGGAGAGGCATGTGAACTGCCTGACATGCCTACGAGAATTTGCTCTCATGGTGACAGAGGCACTGACTTGTCTCACTCTAGCCCAGACCCTGTCTAGCTGTTGCTAGGAGCTGACAATTTGAGGCAAAGGAATAATGTGATTGATTGCATGCCTGCTTTGGGCAATGACCTTTGTATCTAGGCAATCTTATTTGACCTTCATAACAAACCTACAAGGCAGTTGTTCTATACAAGCTTATACAAACCATTATTGTCCTTTTGTTGTTGAGACTGAGCCCTACTACTTAGTCCACGATGGCCTGGAACTCACAAGCCTCCTACCTTAGCCTCTTAAATGCTGAGATTATAGGTCTTCACAACTCAAACTTATACAAATTGGAAAAAGAAAGAGGAGGGGGAGGGAGAAGAGGAAGACTTGCTCAGTGTCACCAAGGTAAAACTTGGGCATTAAACCCAGGTATGGCTGGCTTGTAAGCTCACCCACATGTGTTCTACTCTACCACTCTACCTCCTAAGAACACTAACATGTCTAAAGAGCTCCCCAGGGATGCCTGTGGGAATGATTCATATTCTAATTCAAGCGTGGCTGAGTGAGTCCCTCATTTTCCATAGAGACAGCATGCCCCGATCTCTTTCTAACAATGTTTTCTAAGATGTTCAATCAATACCAATCTTACCTGTGGGCTTCTGCTTCTCTTATTATTTCTTTGATCTTCAATTTCTTTACGAACATTCCACTTTCACTACCTCTTTTCCTGGCTGTTTCTCAAATATAGATATACAATAATGGATAAAATAGGTTGTGAGGCAGGTTCTAACAGGAACACAGGTGCCCATTCACTGCTGCTACCCAAGCTTCACTGGGCATCTTGGCACTGCTCACCCTGCCAAGGGTAACTCTGTAGCCTTTAGGACAGAGTTTAATTCCTGCTCTGAATTAGCTAGTGTGCCCTGTGATTCTGTCCCAAGATTAGTACCTCTCTGTGACAATATTGCCAGTGTCCTCCAACTGTTTGTGGGGCATTCTCTGGAGTGTCCAACCACCATCATGATTATAATACTAATCAGACCATTTCATTCTGAAGAGCCAAGTTAGACCTAAAATAGATGAGGGTAATTTTCTGCTGGGAACATCTGATCACAACCAAAGTAGTTCACAAGACTCAGCAATCCTTAAGAAGAAAAGGGGGAGGAGGGAGGGGAAGGACACAGAGGAGACCCAGGGGGAGACAGGAGAAGTAAACTTTTGGGTCACATATTTCCATCTTGCTTAGTTCAATGTAATTCAGTGGAACTAACATTTTGGAGGACCAACTATTATTGTTTGGATATGAAGTGACCTTCCCCCCAAGGCTTGATTCCATATGCAGCAGTGATCAGAGGTGTGGCCTTGGGTGGTGGTTGAATCATGAAGGCACTAACCTGGTGGATGGATGGATTGATGATCATTGATGAGTTCATAAACTGAAAGGGCTGTTAAGAGTCAGAATCTAGCTACACAAAGTATGGTCAGTGGTAGCACACTCGCCCCTGCCTCCCCCTTTTCTCTCTTGTTCTCCTTCCTGGCTGCCATAGGGTGAGCAGCTGTGTTCTACCACGATTCTCAGTCTCACCTCAGCCTAAGGCAATATGGCCAAGGGTCCAAACAGCTTCACCTGGGGCCCAGAGAAACAGGGCTAAGGGTCCATGCATTGAGGTCTCTGACACAATAACCCATAACAAACCATTTCTTTTTTTTTTTATGAGACAGGGTTTCTCTGTATTGTTTCGGAGGCTATCAGTCCAGCTCGGCCTTGAACTCACAGAGATCCGCCTGCCTCTGCCTCCCGAGTGCTGGGATTAAAGGCGTATGCCACCACCGCCCGGCACAAACCATTTCTTTTCAGATATTTTGTTAAAGTGACAGAAAGCTGATGATCACATCAAATAAACCCTCAACATTACACTACACTAGAAATACAAGGATGGATGACTTGGGTACCTTCAAACATAAGGATCAGGGGCTTTCAAGCAGCCCTTGGACTGACCACAAACAGGACTGGCTCAGGGACCACTTAGTGTTCAACCTCTCAGACTGAAACAGAATTTGGTCCCCTTAGAGCTCATATCACACTAATTATCAAGTCTTTTTACAGAAAGCTTGGGCTCCGGTTACACAAACATTTTCTTGATAGATAATTCATCCACTCACGCGATAAATATTTGACAGGAGCTAAGTGCCAGGCATCAGTGAAACAGTGGTGAACACAACCAGCCCCAGCTATGGTCCACACACTACTGCTTGCAAGAAAATACACAGTCAGATAGCCACACCCCTAGATGAGGAATAGGGAGTAAGTACTACACTCACACTGAAGAGATGCGGAGTTCAGATCTGGAAGGACATGCTCGCCTAAGCATGTGAAGGCCATGCAGAGACTGCTGGAGGAGAAAGAGGAGACACAAGGCTACTGAAATGACAACTTGTTTCGGGCAGAAGTGACAATATGCTTTGGGGACCTTCAATAGGAAGGGCAGGGTGAGTCCAGTGTGGTAGGAATGGAAACTATAGTAGGTAGGAGCAGCTTCTTGAGTGTGTGATGAGAGAACACACAGGGCTCTCTGGTCAGAAAGGCACTGGGCTCCAGTTAAATATTTGTTTAGACTGGTGCTGCTGGGCTGGGGAGATGGCTCCTGGGTTAAGAGAGTGTGCTCCTCTGTCATAAGGACCTGAGTTTGAATCCCCAGGACCCATGTAAAAAGATTGGCGTGTCTATTCATACATGTTACATAGTACTGAGGAGGGGAGACAGATTCTGAGAGCCTCCATGTGCTCACACCCAGGCACATGGGGTACACGCACCACACACATAGACATCATGCACACAAGCTAGTGCTACTTAACAGAGAAAAGGTTTTTCATTTTTCTATGGTTAGAACTATATTAACTAGAAAAATTAATATACCACAAATTGAAAAAAAGTCAAGAGAAAGATCCAGGGTAGGATTTTGGAATAAAGATGCTTACACAAGCTCTCAGCATCAATATTTGACACAGTGGGTCACCTTGGTCTAGAGTTTGTTACTAATAAAGGTTTTCTGTGGGAGGATGAAGCACTTAAAAGAAAAACAAATCAGACTGAATGGTCTCCAGATAAAAACATCACTACCAAAATCCTGCTTTCCAACATGCTGTGTGTGTGTGTGTGTGTGTGTGTGTGTGTGTGTGTGTGTGTAGGAGCTGGTGTGGCAGAAACGGTGTATGTCACATACAAGTTAGCTGAGGTCGTGAGCCTCTGGGTGTCATTCCCTACCCACTGTGGCTGAAGGTAGATGAAGCAGGGGTGTGACCAGAAGGAACAGTCACAGGTCCCGGGTGGGAAGTGCTGGCTTCCACCCTTGCAGCTTCTGTTTGGGGTGTACAGTTGCCTTCTCTTCTGCAGTAAGGCACTCCCCAGACTCAGCAGAAATTGGTATTGCTGTCTCTCCCGCTGTTAAAAGTTTCTGAGAAAATGTCTTTAAATTGATTTTCTTTATTTTTTAAGATTTATTTTATATGAACAACTCTTTTGCCTGCATGCATATATGCCTGGTACCCACAGAACTCAGAAGAGGCCATATGCCATATGATCCCCAAAACAGGAATTACAGATTATTGTGAGTCTTCATGTGAACACGGGGATCTAACTTGGTCCTCTGCAAGAACAAGTACTCTAAACTGGTGAGCCATCTCTTTAGCCCTCGTTAGGTTTTCAAAGAATATTGTGAAAGCATAACTCTTACACGTGAACGACTGTGTTGATTCCATCTTTCAGATAAGGAGACTGAGTTTGGGAGGGGTCAAAGGGCTCCAC